GAAACAAGAATTAAAGTCGCCTTCCGGAATGGCTTTCAGAGCGTGTAGCGATTCACGTTGTATCTCTTCTATCGTCTCAAAACGATTTCCCCGCAGTGGTCTTTTGAGTTTCGAGAATAGTCAGAAGTCACACGGTGCTAAATCAGGCGAATATGGTGGTTGTGGAACGATATGGATCGAATTTTTTGGCGAAAAAGTCACGAAAAACGAGTGTAGTGTGAGAAGGTGCATTATCGTGATGCAAAAACCAAGAATTGTCTGCCCTCTGGCCAATTCTGGCCTCTTCTTGCGAATAGCTTCACGCAAACGACGCATAACACTCAAATAATACTCTTTGTTGACGGTTTGGCCGGATGGAAGGAATTCTGAATGGACAACACCACAATAATCGATGAAAACTGTCAACATAACCTTGATTTTCGATCGACTGTTTATACCACTTGTAAACATTCCTTTCCGACAAAGCATGGTCTCCGAAGGCTTTCTGCAACATCCTGAACGTTTCTGCAACCGAAATTTCATTCTACAAACAAAATTTAATGCAACTTCTTTGCTCAATATAATTAGACATTGTAAAAATCGCCGAATGCACTTTTAGCGTCGTACAAAATCAAGCGTAAAGCAAAAAGTAATGAATGTTTTGACATGAAATTTGTCACAGATGTCTGTCACAATGCTGCCAACTTAGAAAAAAAATATTTATGATGTGCGGTTTACCCGCGCGATTTAAATTGAAAACTGGTCTTACTTTTTGGACACAGTAGTATATAAGATATGTTGAGGTTATCCGCAACTATCTTTATCTTTTCCGCAAAATTACAGCGGTAAGATTATAGCGAAACGGCATAAAAAAGAGCGGAACAGCTGTGATTAGTCGTACTGGTTCCGCGTGTTCCGTTCCGCGGAGAATTTTCGCCCCATGAGACGTCGGCCTTAAATATAAGGCCTGCCTATGAATACGAGCATAAATGTGCATTAAGTGTAAAGTGTAATGGCTCCTGCACACAAGACACGGTAATGCTTGCCGCGCGGCGGAAGACCGCGCGACGGCCAATCAATATATTGTTTTTCCGTAAGAGCTAGGTTATTACGGAAAGCAGCATATTGATTGGCTGTCGTACGAACTTCCGCCGCGCGGCAAGCATTACCGCGTCCTGTGTGCAGGAGCCATAAAAAGTTCAATTAATGCAAATAAACTTATTGGATATTAGCTGTTTTCAGACAGCTCACATCTTCAAAGGACATCCTAAAAATATTCTGATAACATCCCTCCGTTCTAAAAGCGTCTTCTGGATCTTAAGGGCTATCGCACACAAATTGACATAACTGCATATGCATAGCATAAGATCGTATGGACCAATGAGCATTGAATATTAAGTCGCCATATTGATGATTGATACTTAATATTCGATGCTCATTGGTCCATACTATCTTATGCTATGCATATGCATCTATGTAATTTTGTGTGTGATGGCCTTAAGAGTCGATTGTGTATCTTAAATCGGAGTGAAAATGACAAAAGTGAGCAAATTTACTAGTATATTTGTAACTTCATTGGACAATGCCTAGTGAATTTGCTCACTTTTGTCATTTTCACTCCGTTTCGAGATACACAATTGACTCCCTGATTCGTCGAATGAAAGGTTTATACAGGATTCACACCGCGTCCGATGTCCGACTTACAACATCCGATATCCAATAAAAGAATAGCTTTCCAATAAAGAATTGAATTCTATATTAGGGTTGCATTCCAAAACGTTCTTTTTGAGGAAAATTTTACTCAATACCTATAATTCACGTTACATATACTATACAATATCGAGTAAAATTTCCTCAAAAAAGACGTTTTGGAACGCAACCTAGAAAGCTGTTCTTTTATTGGATATCGGACGTCGTACACCGGACACGGTGTGAATCCTGCATTATCGTCGTGCGGGCTAGAAACTATCGAAATCTCGTTAGAGATTCCGATAGCAGGAGGAGAAGCGACGGTTGTCGCGATCATCGTACGAGAAAGCTCACGATCCTCACGGTGATCCACATGCCGAGCACACATAAGGATATGCTCACACATCGCACACAATACGTATGCACACATCGCACAGAATACATACGCACACGCACACAGGAGCGAGGTGCGACCGCGTGAGAGCCGTCACGATATGCATTAATTACCGAGGGAAATGTGACGGGAGCATACACGAGGAAAAAAAGAGAGCGCCTGCTGTACGCCGCACCGTCGTCACGGCGGTACCGCGGGCGGCGTGCACATCGTAAATTATCACACGAGCGAAAAGAGTGTCAAGTCGCTGCTGCTGCTACCGCGGCGGCGGCCGTATAGGAATGTGGCACTTCAAAATGGCTGCCAGTTACTCTAATAATTTACGGCCGTGTCTGCCTTTGTTGTCGCACGTCTGAATCGTGGGTAGAAGCGCGCACCGCCGCGGAGCCCCAATTCTACCGTCGGCCGACGACGGTGCGCGCGCGCGACCGTCGTACGTACGCACGCACGCGAGACGCGGTAGTGTGCGCGCGTACGCGTGTGTCCGTGTGCGTGTGTCCGCCTGTCTGTCTGTCTGCCTGCCTGCCTGCCTGCCTGCCTATCTGCCTGCCTGCCTGCCTGCCCACCTGCCTCTGGTCTGCCTATCTGCCTGCCTGCCTGCCTGCCTACTTGCCTGTCCGCCTGCCTACTTGATCGTCAATTTGCTCGTCCACACCTTCATACCGTATCAGAGGATCAGGCGGCGACATTCTTATCGCGACTGGTACCAGTGACGGTTTCATTGGTCGCGGCTCTATCTCGCACAGCCTCGTCACATGGACCGCGCGGCGCGTACGTGAATGCGACAGAATATGCTGCGAACGGCTGCTCCTGCTGTCGCCGCTGCCGTTGCTGTTGCCGTCGCCGCTGCTGCTCGCGTGTTCAACGTTCTCGCGCTGGGAGAGCCTGTCCGTCCTGTGAGATCGCACGACGGGCATTTGCTCCCGCATCCCGAGCTCGTCCCCATCGTCATCGCCGTTCTCGCGCGCCAAGAGAACACCTTGGCGGTCTGACGGAAACGCGCGCGCAGGCACGCAGCTCGACACCAGACTCCGTCGCCGCCGCCGTAGTTTCGGCATCGGGCCTAAATGGAGCCAGAGATATAGGTTAGCTCTCTCGCGCTCGGACCTCGAAGAAGGTCGCGCGGGCGACCACACGCCGACACGGAGATGCCGAGACCAGGCGTCTTCGACGCGATGTCGCGCGGACCGCTGTCTTCTCGCCGTTGTGCCAACGGCCGCGCGAAGCGGACGTCCGCGCGAGATCGGCGGCTGTGTGAAGTCGCTCGCTGGGATACTGAATTCCCAACACACAGCCTCGTTATCACCATTCCCACGCTCGCGTGCGCCTTATTATTCTCATATATGCTTTTTGTATCACGATAACGAATGCCGCGGTCGTGCATCATCGAAGAATGTTTGAGCACCGATCGAGTGCTTAATAAAAAGGCTTGTTCGTGACGCCTTGTGCAGTCACTTCCGCGTTCTCTGTGTATGTTTCGTTGTCACAGACTGAATGCCGCTTGTAACACTGTCATTGCCATGATGTCGGCCATCGTCCATGGCAGAATGAATTGAACAGTGAGCTTTGTAACGCGAAAATTGTAAGTACTGCCTGCTGACGTTGGACTGTGTGTCCAAGCACGAGTGACACAACCATGTCCATAGATCTGTTCTGTTTTTCTTTTGTCAAGCTACGTTAACTCTCAAAGTGGGTTGCAAAATGACTTAGACACAGTGAAGTTGAGACCTCACTAAACTATCAAAATTAAGAATCATTATTGTGCTGAATTTGTCCAGTAATTATATTATTAATTATTATTATATATTTGTCAGTATTATTCATTATTATTTAGTGTTCTAATTATATTATCAAATGTTATTGCATAAATGTAATGATAAGAGGTTTGTTCTTTTTTAAGGAACTTTCTGAATTACTATACACTGATAAGTTTAAATGAAATAAAAAAATCTGTTCTCAAAAGATTTCTGAATTAGTGCAACATGTTAGAGTGAAACAAGTATATTTTCTTTTGTTTAGTGTGCACTAGTTCAGAAGTTCTTCAAAAGCAAATAAACCCAAGATATGATTGTTTCACTTTAACTTCATCAGTGTACACCAGTATAGAAAGTTCTTCTAAAAAGAACAGACTTAATGACTCTCAATTATAATAGTTTGGTGTGCTCTCAATTACAGATAGACATTGAATTATTCACACATGGAGTTGTATTCTTAAACTTGCAATATATTTCTCTTGAAAAAACCCCAAAATGATATAGCTTGATGTATATAGATTTCAATGTTGGTCGTAGCATTTTGAGATATTAAAACTGTACATAAGACAGAAGTAGTATTTAGTACTTGGCAAAGAAAAAGAGGAGCCAAAAAAAATTGCAAGATAATGAAAGTACAGCCATCGAGAACAGACCTTATGTTTCAAGAATGGTGTCTTTGTAAACGAATAAATTAGAACAATGTTCGTTTGTTGCATGCAGAATCATGCTTTACATGATCGTGCGTTTCCAACGTATCGTATATATTATTAGTTGTGGACATAAATTAAAGATACTCACTACAAGTGACAATAATCGAAATGAAACGTAAAAAACAGAGAAATATCTTTACTCACAACACTTTATACATAGAAGATCCCTGTTGATGTAACACATGTTTTGCGTAAGAGCATCGGACGCATTTTTCAACACGTTATTTTCTACACCTATAGAGAATATCGTACACATTTTGTAAGAAATTTTGTAACACTTCGTATTCTATTACGAAAACATCGGAATTATCGTACTTTCAAGCTGTACAACGATTAAATTTGACCGTAGCATAGCCGAAAACGTATTCACACGCTACGTTCATGATGGAGAAGCTCAGCCACGATTGTCACACATTGTTACTCATCAATAATCAGTTACTTTATCTTGAGCCATTACGATTGGTTAGTTCTCAAACTGGTATTCGAAAAATGTGTCTGATAATTTTCGTTCAAAAATACTAGCTCGAAATTTCGAAAATACTCGTTCCAAATTTTGGAAAGTCACCGCAGCTGTAAAAATAACATGAAAATTTTCTCATGTTGCAGATACCTTTATATATATGTCGCAGCCGGATTAAAGCTAGGTCCCAAAGGGCCTAGCATGGGCCACTATGAATCCACCCGCGGTCAGCAAATTGAGCACTCGCGGCTCTGGATATCACCAGAAGGCGTTAGCTGAGATCCGCAACTCTTTGCTGCCGTTCGCGAATATCGGCGGAGCTGGTGAAGTGGGCTCTAGTGCTGCCAGCACTATTTCCACGTTATCCACGACTAGTGGCATCAGTTCCGCCTCGGGTCTCAGCGGATTATCCGGGGCTTCAGGCTCAACTCTCGATAAACCAGACCAACGGCAGGCACTGTGTCAGCTTTTGGCTATGGGTTATTCGGAGGTATGACGAGTAACGATAACATCCGATTGTAGACCTCACTGAGACTATACACGCATTGATTACACATACATTGATTTCTAGGAAATAGGAGTACGCGCCCTCAAGCTTGGCGGCTGGCGACTGGACGCAGCAATGGAGTTCTTGAAGCAGGCTCAAGGGGAATCTCTAAATGGGCTTGGCAAACTGAACACCAAGCTCATTCGGAAGCCGAGTCTCGAGAGAGAACTGAGTCTCCAACGCGGTAGCCCCGCGTTGGACAGCGGGGCGGGTAGCTCACGGTCGGACAGCCCACGTCTCGCGGAACTCAGTCCGCATCCTCAGCTGAGCCGGCAATACTCGCCGAGCAATTTCGTGGAGCGCGAACCGCCACCGCCACCGCCGCCGAGATGCAGCTCCACGCCGCCGCCACCTCCGCCGCCCCATGCTCCGTACAGCCAGCCCAACGTACCTACCAATATGCAGCAGATGCTGAAGCGGATGTCGCCGGCGCCGGTTGTGCCGACGAGATCGCCGGCTGCCGCGCCCGGCAGCGTCGGCGGCGCAACCACGTCGGTGAATCCGCCGCAGAGGGGCACGAGCCCGGTGGCGAGTAGCAACAGTAACTCCAGCAGTCGCCAGCCGATGATCGTGCAGAACGGTCCGCAGGTGCAGCAGCAATTGACGCAACAGATACAGGCACTCAGCATTTACCAGACGGGCAACGGGAACGCGAGCGCACAGGTGGAACCTCCGCCGCCGTATCCTGTGCCGTCTTCGTCGGCTGGTCCGGTCCAGCCGCCCTCTTACAGCGCCTCCATACAGAACCGACAGAGCCCAACGCAATCACAGCAGGATTACCGCAAGAGCCCTTCGTCAGGCATCTACTCCGGTCCAACGTCCGCTGGATCCCCGAGTCCTATCACCGTGTCCACTATCTCGCCGAATGCCACGCAAACGTCGATGGCGAGGCCGACGCCGTTGCAGGCGTGGGGTGCGCGACAAGCGAAGACGCAGCCGCCGATTATCATGCAGTCCGTGAAGAGTACACAGGTGCAGAAACCGGTGCTGCAAACCGCCATCGCACCTACGTCGCCTCAGCCGATCTCGACGACCAGCAACACGCCACCACCTCCGCCCTCTTACGCGACGTCCATTCAGCAGAAGCAACAGCAGCAGCAACCGCCGCCCGCTTACCCGCCGGTGAACAATGTCGCCACGGCATCCGCTAGTATCGGTGTGCCGACGACCGAACCGCCCAGTTACGCCACGACGATGCAGGCGTTGGCGGCGCAGCGCGGCATGCACCATCCACCGCCACCCTATGGTACACCCACGGAAAGCAGCGCGGCGATCTCTACGGTGGAGAGCGGCAGCGCGCCGCGATCTTCCCCAGTCGCGCATCATCCGCCTCTCCAGAGGAAATATTCGCCGGCCGACAATTGCGGCCAGCATGTGGTGGAAACACCACCGTTGCCACCAGTGGCCTCGACCTCTGTGTCCGCGAGAAGCAACAATCATTCTTCCTTACCCGATAGCGGCAACAGTAGCGGTAAGAGCGGTAGTGGTGGCGGCGGCAGTGGTGGCTCGTCGCCTTCTTCCTATAAGATCAAACATCAGTCACCGATACCTGAACGCAAGCATATGAGCAAGGAAAAGGAGGAGGAGCGCAGGGATTGCAAGGTGAGGAACTACTCGCCGCAGGCGTTCAAGTTCTTCATGGAGCAGCATGTAGAGAATGTGCTCAAGTCGCACAAGCAGCGTCTTTACCGGCGTCTGCAGCTGGAGACGGAGATGGCGAAAATTGGCTTGAGCGAGGAGGCGCAGTGTCAGATGAGGAAGATGCTGTCGCAAAAGGAGTCCAATTACATACGGTTGAAACGGGCGAAGATGGACAAGTCGATGTTCACTAAGATCAAGCCGATTGGCGTCGGTGCATTCGGCGAGGTCACGCTCGTCAGAAAGATCGACACTAATCAGTTCTATGCGATGAAAACGCTGCGCAAGGCCGACGTGCTGAATCGCAATCAGGTCGCTCACGTGAAAGCCGAGCGGGACATATTGGCCGAGGCCGACAACGAGTGGGTCGTCAAGCTCTACTACTCGTTCCAGGATAAGGATAATCTGTATTTCGTGATGGATTACATACCTGGCGGCGATCTCATGTCGTTGCTTATCAAGTTCGGCATCTTCAAGGAGCCTTTGGCGAGATTTTACATCGCCGAGCTCACGTGCGCGGTCGAGAGTGTACACAAAATGGGATTTATTCACAGAGACATTAAGCCCGATAACATCCTAATCGATCGGGACGGCCATATCAAGTTGACCGATTTCGGCCTCTGCACAGGATTCCGTTGGACTCACAATTCGAAATATTACCAGCAAAATGGTGAGCATTCATCAAACTCGGTATCTTCGAATTTGATTAAATCATAGAGAGATCTCTCTCTATGCCTGGAATACTGTCATGCACACATGTAATGTGTTTAAGGGGATACCATACTTGAAAACTCCACCGATTAAATACTGACTTCTTTCTGCAAAATTTACGTCATATTACTGGTTGCATAGAATTACAAATACTTCTATACACTGAAAATACGTACAACAATGAATCGGAACATTGTTTAATATATGATAAAAACGACAAAAAATTTTTAATTGACACTTCAAGCTATTAGTTAACGTAAATATTTATTTGATACAAATGTTCTGTAATTTGCATGTATCACACGTGTATGTTCGCCCCGCTAAAGAAAATCAAGGAACATTCTGTATTTTTACTATTGAATTTAGAAGCTCACAAATCTATGAAAAGTTTGCAGAAAGATTCTTATATATGTGCGTGGTTGTGTTTCCTACTAGCATGGTAAAACACAGCAGCACACATTTATATAAGATCTATGTGTACAAGAAATATGAAAAAAATAGTTTTCCTCTACGTTATTGATATTTTTGGAATTCGTTATCCAGTTCAGTATCTTCTTAAGGAGACTGAAAATCGTCTTTACGAGTATATGCGTAAAGCTAGTAATAATATGAGCACATGAAGTAGTTTCTCTTTCTTTATGAGAATCTGAAGAATATAATATAATCTGAAGAAAATAATATTATCTTTTTTTTTCTTAATATGCATATATCTTTTTATTACATTTTTTCAATATTTATTTTAATATATACATGCAATTGTAGGCCATGGTAAGCAAGATTCAATGGATCCAGCTGACGACTGGAACAAAGAGTGTCGATGCACACAACTAAAGCCATTGGAGCGTAGACGACATAGGGAACACCAGAGGTGTCTGGCACACTCTTTGGTGGGCACACCGAACTATATCGCGCCGGAGGTTCTACAACGTACAGGATACACGCAGTTGTGCGACTGGTGGAGTGTGGGGGTGATTTTGTACGAGATGTTAGTCGGTTCTCCACCGTTTCTTGCCAATACGCCCGCTGAAACTCAATATAAGGTACGTACATCGTGCAATTTTTCAACAATTAGAACAATATTTGAGATTACACATCTCTTCTATTAAAAGAAAAATTATAATGCGCAATAGATGTATATTTTGTTGCAAGCAACCTTAGATGTTAAAGTTTTTAACGATTCTGTTGCTTTACAATATCTCAATCTAAATTAAATGATTGGCTCTTTGATTAAAATAAAAAAATATAAAGAGTGAATCAGACACACACTCAGCGTTTTTAGATTCTAAAATGTCTCTGTTGTTTTTTATATTAAAGGAAAACGTGTAAGGAATAAATTGCATGTTGGAAGGATTGGCTGATCATAATATTTATCTCTAAAAAACAGAGAGAGAGAGAGAGAGAGAGAGAGAGAGAGAGAGAGAGAGAGAAAGAGAAAGATTTTATCTTACGTTAGGTGATTCATTTTGTACAAGAACAACGTATAATGTAAACTAAATTGCAAGTCCAACTTACATATATTTATAATATAGTATAATATATAGAGTGTCTTCAATTAGACCAAACTAAAATACAAAATTTCTCTACCATCTTGCAAACAACTACGTGAATTTTGAGTCATTAATCAAAAAAGATCATGCGTAATATGTCAAATGAGTTCTATTCAGACCACGCCTGCTATCGTGTAGATCAAGTCAAACTGAACAAAAAAGAACAAAAAGTTGAATTAAAAAGCCCTACACCATTTTGCAAATAACGTAAATTTTTTTAATTGTTAAGAAAAATTGGCGAATGGTTGTGCGAGATAATACACCAATGTTTTTTAATTAATAATTAAAAATCCACGTGATTATTATAAATATATAATATTCGTTATTTAAAAAATATCTATATGTTTTTTCCCAGGTTATTAATTGGGAAACGACGCTTCATATTCCGAAGCAGGCAAACCTATCGCCGGAAGGTATGGATCTAATATTGAAGCTTTGCGTTGGCGCGGACCGTCGGTTAGGTAAGAACGCGGATGAGGTCAAGAGCCATCCGTTTTTCGCGAGTATCGACTTCGAGAAGGGTCTGCGCCGTCAGGTAGCCCCGCACATACCTCGCATACAGTATCCTACTGACACGAGTAACTTCGATCCCGTGGATCCCGACAAACTGCGTAATTCCGAATCGTCGGACTCGAATAAGTCGGACGAACTGTTGGATAACGGCAAACCGTTTCACGGCTTCTTCGAATTCACGTTTAGACGTTTCTTTGACGATGGCGGCGGTCCCTCGTATCCTGGTCGGATAAGCTTGGACGATAATGACAATCAAGGTCCCGTCTACGTATGACATTAGGCGTAACCACGGTGCCTCGCTCGTCAGAGCCTTGTTCATATCAAAAGCTACCGCGTCTTGACTTTTCCACACTCTGGGAATCGCGTGTAAATACCTAAAAAAACAAAAGAAAGAAAAAAGAAAAATAATCTCTAACAAGTGTATCGCGTGATGATTCTCGTATTACCGAGACTCGCGCTCTCCTCGACGAATGTATGTATTTACGCATTTTTTTAAGTGCGTAGAAATTTTGTGAGACAAGTCCCTAATTCGTTGCAATGAAAATATTTTTTATTGGAGGATGTTTTACCGTGTAACACCGTATTATATTCGTTACGTATTCGTTTTTTTATGTCGAGACCTTTATATTGAAAGGAACGCGAGAAAACTTGCGCACGCGTGTGTAAAAGGGCATATTTAAGAAGGAGATGGGCATTTACAACGATATACAATGTGAACGCGTAGTCTCTATCGCATTAACTTTTGGACGCGCGTTGCACGACGCATTTTTTTTTTTTTTTTT